TGAGAGGGAGATGGTGGGCTGAGAAGAGGAAGAAGAAGAACTCTCTCTCTCCCATGTGCCAGGTACTAACCTGTGAAGTTGGCGCTGTGCTGCAGGTACCTCGAAGATGGAGCTGCAGGTAAGTCTCCCTGGCCTCCGCTCAATATCTCTCTCTCTCCAGTACTACTCTAGCTCCTACTAGCGCCTGAAGACTAATGCTAATGCTACTAGCGCCCAGCGCTGAAGACTACTGCTAGCGCTACTACTACTTCTGCAGCGCTCCTCCAGAGTGCTGCTGCCGAATCCTGAAGACTACCTCCTGCCTCCTGAACTGCACGTGAAGTGCTTGGGAAGTACCTAGGAACTACCTACCGGCCTGCAGGGTGGGCCAGTCCTCTATAGTGCTGGCCCGTCCAGGAGGCTGCTCTTGCCAATGCCGAAACGTGCCAGACCCTGGCGTTGGTTGAGGCTCAACCAGGGGTTGTCTTGAAAACAGGCCCGAAATGGCCTGTGCTAAAACCCTGGTTTGTTGCCTGAGTTTCAGGGCGGGTCGAACTGATGAGGGCCTGAAAATGGCCCTCAGTTTCAGGCTGAAAACACTCAGGGCCGGAAAGGCCCTGATTTAGCCTGAAACGACACAGGGCATGTAGGCACTTGTTTTCAGGCTTTCAGGCTGAAACGACAGGGGGCCTGTAGGCCCTTGTTTTCACGTGTTTGGCTGGAAAACGTCACGGGCCTGAAAGGGGGCCCGTGCAGCCTGTTGCAGGTGCAGCATGTAACATGTAGTGTCAGGTCAGAACTGAGATCTCCTATGTCGAGTTCTACAAACTAGTTAAGGGAGATGGGTCGGAAAAAACTATCAGCGAGAGGCGAAGCTCATGAGTGCAATTCCGCGAGTAATTGCCAGGGTAGAAGGGGGATCGGAAATGAGTTCAACTCACACCAAAGCATAACATTCGTTTATCTACGTCACTAAGAAACACACATGCATTACTCTTGCAAAGAGACAATCAACTAAGACCATAAAGCACCAAAGAAAAGATGGAATAGGGAAGAAGGAGAAGGATTGTACAGACCAAAGTCTTGAGGAAATAGCATTGAAAGCGTTACCCTGTCTCTCTCTCTCTCTCTTGGGGATTATCACAAGAAAACCTTTGCACAACCATAACCAGAAATCTCGACCCGAACTGTCCATCTTCACGCCCTCACCAACTCCCAAAATCGCTGCCTCGCTTGACCAATGAGAAAGCTAGGTTTGCCCGTGGCCTGCAGTTTGTCACAGAGATACATCGACCCCACATAATTGGTGCGAGCTCGACAGGCCTTTTTAATCCGCTCACACACTCAAGATCACACTCTAGCTGACCGACCCTCTTTGTGGGGATGCATGTGGGAAAGGAGGAGGGTTAGACAGACAGGAGAAGAGGGGTCGAGTAAGCAGTCCCTTAAAGTTGCAGAATCGAACTGTGGCATGGGGGCCTTAGCCAATCTCCACGCACCAATCCGCAAGGCACCATATTTGGCCAATGAGGTTCAAGCTTGTAGGGACAAACAGAGAGAGAGAGGGACATGAAAGCGATAAGGTGCGTGCACGCGCACCAATAAAAAACGGGCGGGGAGGAGGCAAATGAGACACTGTCGAGCACATCGGTCCCGCAGGGGGGACCCTCCCAGCCGCCTCACGCAAGATTGATAGGAATTGGTGGGACGCAAGCAATACTGATCCGGCTGACTGCACCAACTATACCTCCCTCGAGTCCCTACGACAGGATACGGTTCAGCGACGTACAACTTATCTCCACCCATGGGAGTTGTCACCATCCCTTAGGTGGTCGTATCCTTGTCGAGTTCCCTATTTTTGTTTTCCGCTTTTTTTTTTTTTTTGGTACCCCCTGTAAATTCAGAGTTATATAATTTATCTAGGTTAGTCGGGATTAGAACCGAGTTTTATATTCTACTGACCCACATGCGAAAGCTTTTATAATGCAATCGCAGAGGTGGACCAATAGAGGGCGTTTCTCGTATGCTGTCGCATAGGGGGTATTAGCAGTTGACACCCGAATCTAACCCGTACGTGAACGGTCGTGTGGGGCGCTGATCTCCCACACGCAGCCCTACACCGGTTGACTAGGACACCCAAACTTAACCACGCGATACACAATGGAAAAATAACACTCGTTTAGATCACACGTATGTGTCTATTCCCTTCGTGAAACATCCCGGTCCTACTCGATACATAGAAAATAGGGGTACACGTATACACCAAATAATCTCGGTAGGAAGAGCAAGGTTTGTTTGCGAAATAGGAGAAGCCATCTCTCACAATTACTCGTGCTTACTCATCCATTCGTACGCAACCATTCATCCAAACACGACAAAACAAGATCAAGCTCCAAGATACATAGTTGCGCACAGACACATTCAACCAAAGTCACAAGTCCACGCACTAATGTGGTCAACCCTTTTGTCACCTTGCCCTGTCCCACACACCCCTTCAACCATCATTCAGCATGGCATGACCCTTCCCACATCATTTCGCGCCCATCCCCTGCACGACCATTCACAAAACTTGAAAAAAGTTCAAAAGAGGGAAATACCTTTTTAGAGAAAATGCCATTCGCCTACAGGGTTCTCAAACATCGGGATGCGGGTATCAAGGAAGGTGAAGGTTGAGTCGCAAACCGACTTGCTATCAAGCGATAGCAGAAATTTCAACATCCTCCGACCCGCGCGAAGTGTTTCGTTAACACTCACGATAAAAAAGTTTCCTGCGTCAATCAATCGAACACGGGTTTTCATCGCAATTCCAAGTGGAGGTTATCCTATTTCGTAGCGCAAACTATCAACGGTATCGGCCCCTATCCATCCATAGCTAGAGAAATTTCGGCAGTATCTCCCCTAGGGAAGTATGCCCCCATAATTCCTACAAGATAAGAATCACGAAGAAAACAACCCAGACTCAAAAGGCAACCAAAAACAACTGACTCTTTGGTTTTAGTGTAAATTCTGGCAGCATCTCTTGTGGGGAAGTAGTTTTACTAATCCCAACGACTAAACAGAGTTAGGCTAAAGACCAAAGGAGTTTTTACTAACCCCCCGATACCAACAAGAAGCCCGACAGCGTCTCCCCTAGGGAAGTAGGCTATCAGAATCCTTACTGGTTCAGGAGCCAAGCAAAATCCCTATGAGTAAGCACAGAAAATGCAAAAAGAGAGTTGACAAAACAACATCATCCAAACGACTAAACGACCTATCGCTCAAACACTTGGCGAGCTCTTACAAACTAGACCACCAACCCAAAATATGCAGATGGAAAGACAAACAGGACAACACCAGGATACAAAGCAAAGAAAACACGACATTGCAAGCTTCATTCACCAAAGATTTGCAAGGCGAGCGCCACAAAAGTAACGACGATGATTGGACGAGCGTGGGATAAGGCGAGTGCCACAATGATGCTTGAGCCAATGTGATCAGGAAGAAGAGGGTCGCCATGAAGCGGCTGTCCCACAATGTAAACAAGGAGCTCCTTGAACACGAGTTTGACTTCACTACTTACTGAACATGCAAATTGTGAACGAATCTTCAATTGGAACCTGGGAACATACAACGCTACTCTCCTTTTCTTTGTCGTCTACTCCTCCTTTGCCTTTCTCACCATTCCTTCCCCATTACAGTTGCTGTGTTCATCTCCTCCTAGCCTCGTCAGGTCCCTCCCTCTCCTCTCCTGCCTTACTCACCTCTCCGCCAACCACCACTTAAAACGGGACACCATCATTGCCCAACACATCTAGCAGGCTTCCCAGCCAGACTCCTACGACACTCTGGGATCAGGCTTAAAAATGTTGTAATTCGAATCGGGCAAAGAACACAGCAACGAGCATCAACAACGACTTCAAACCTCGAGGCAGACGGGGACGGACACTCACACTTATGCGCAGCGAAGTTGGAGGCAACCCCCACAGACTACGAGCAGCAGGCGATGAGCGCAACCACAACCATGACGACAAGCTTGCTCCACGGGCCACCAAACACGCAAAATGAAAAAGGATCTTTCGCCAAAACATGGACAGGTACACCGCCCAAGCTTGCTCACCCACTATCTGCCCGTCGCATGCAGCAAGCTTTGCGCCCGGCCTACTCAATCCCCTCTGCTCTCTATCTCCTATTTCTTGTTTTTCTTACTTTGTCTCACTAATTATCTCCTTCTCTGCCTTCTTCTGACTCCGATTCTCCCCGCTGAGTCTACTCCCTTCTCGTTTTTTGCATATGCGCTGCCTCACCTCAAACGGAGGAGGAACACTGCTGCGCACGAGACCGCCCCGACGAAGACCACTGCGGTGATGAGCACCACCGCGAAGCCAAGAAGGAGACCGCAGAGCTGATGAAAGGCCACTGCGATCAGGAGGATGAGGACGGGTTGCGATGGAGGATCTTTCTCCACTGCTCACTCGGTGCGCAATATAAGTATGAACCTTCCCCTAAAATGCAGAAAGATTCATTACCATACCATCTTGCTCCCGCTATGCACCACGCAGCTCCTAACCTCTGTTGCACCAAAATCACTGCACCAAGCTCGACTCTAAGCACGCCACTCACCTCGCAGCAATCCAGAACCTCTGGTTTGCACTTTCCCATGTCAACCAACACTCCTAGTGGAAATATCTGAAACGGTTTTTCACCTTGGCAGTAACAGATGCAGATCCCAGGGATCGATCGCTAGACCTCACCTCACCAGTGTACAGTACCTCTGTGTGTTTGAACCCGTGACCTGCGTTTTAGGAGTCAGTTGTTGCTTGCCGTAGGTCTGTCTAGCTGTAGGGGTTCGATCTGTAGATCTGTTGAGTAGGGGTCATAGTTGTGTAGAGGCCGTAGCTGTAGCAATTTCAAAAGGTCAAGGTCGTAGCTGCTACAGTCCTGAAAGGTCAAGGTCGTAGCTGCTACAGTCCCGAAAGGCGAAGTCCACAGACTCCCGGAAGGTCCAGAAGTGGCCTTTCGAGTTTCCCTCATGTTACCCACAGCAGACCAGAGGCAAGTGGGCAAGTGGTGAGTCCAACTTCGCTTAGTCAGCGGTACCCAGTTCCAGTCTCACTTTGTACAGTCAGCAAGTACCATGAGGGACTGTGTGCACCGTGGGCCCGGTGGAAAGGGGCAGGCCAGCGACTTACAGAAGTATAAATCAAGAGGCAGCGTCCAGCCATTCATTCATTCCTGCGTAAGCCATGCGGAAGCCCTGCCCTACTGTCTTGTGCAAGGTGGTCTGCAGATGCCCTAGGACGAAGTGGGCTGAAGGAGGATGGAGTATCCATAGCTAGTAGGGGTTAGGCGTCCATAGCCGCTGTACCTTAGAGGCAGAGTTCAGTGTGTGTGTGTGAGTGGCAGGAGTGTATGTGCATGGGATATTCAGGGGGATCCAGAGTTGAATGTGTGCGAACAATGGTGTTGGACACAGTGACGAGAGCTGGGATGTACAGGCGCTGATGCGCCATAGCCTGTTGAAGCGAGTTTGTATCTGAACTGTGTTCTCGGTTCCCATATCTCTGAGCTTTGAGTGGGCGCTTGGCGGCAGTGTGAATTGCCATCTGTCTGCATGTATGCGAAGTGAAGAAGAAAGCGAGTCTAATTGCATTGGTATCGGAGCTGGTTCCCGTTATTCCAGGCGCCGTCACTGTCTGGGCGCCATAGCTGTAGCTGCGCCAAGGATGGAGGAGGGTCCGCCATATCTGCGTCGTTGAAGGAGGGTGCCACGAACCTGCACAGAAGACAACGACGAAGAGAGAGAGAGAGAGAGAGAGAGAGAGAGAGAGAGAGAGAGAGAGAGAGAGAGAGAGAGAGAGAGAGAGAGAGAGAGAGAGAGAGAGAGAGAGGAGCGATGCAAGATTTTTGTGCGGTCCAAGGAAGAAGGTGGCCACCATAGCCGCCGAGCTCGAACACAGAGAAGACGAAGAAGAAAGACAAGTGGAGGAAGGAGGGAAGAAGAAAGTGAAGGAAGCCATAGCCGGGGTGAAGTGAGAAAGAAGGAGAAAGAAGGAAGGAGGGAGAAGGAGAACAAAGAAGGTTGGTGAGGAAGAAAGGGTTCGGCAGCCATAGTCGAGTTAAGGGTTGACCAAGATGGTGACCGAGGAGTTGACCAACGTTGACCAAGACTTTGACTGAGGAGTTGACCAGGGAGTTGACTGACATTGACCAAGGCATTGACCGGCAAGTTGACCAAGTGGTGACCAGCGTTGACCGGAGCTGTTGACCATGAAATTGACCAAGCTGGAGCTGGTATATTATCGCCAAGCCTTCAGCCTATCCCCTCGCCCTATGGATGTGCACTCACCCTATGGTACTTGCTGAGTCTGTCTGTCTCTTCTTTCTGCATTGAGTCTCTTCTGTCCAGGTGATAGGACTCCAAGGTTGAGGTCGTAGAGCTGTGTTGACCAAACCCACACGGGCTTAATTCCAGGTATGACGACTGACACGTCCCGGAGGACAAACCCTCCCAAGGACCGGTACAGACCGGCGGGCTGAACAATGTGGCATGGATGGCCCAAAATCCGAGTTGTGGGCTGCACAACCTGCTGTCTAAGTGTTGAGAGAGCTTTGCTGATCACGTCGTCCTGACTGCGACGTTAAAAAATTCTTGAGGAGTTATGGGGGATCTCCTTAAATGCCTCCTGATCAGCAGTAGAGCTCTGTAGTGACAGCCTTAGAAGTAGGTCAAGGCTAGTGACCCTAGTTGACAGGGTCCTGATCCAAAGAGAAAGCCAAGCGGGATTGACCGCAGGTGCAGGGCATCTGGGTCTGGTTTGTAAAGGACAATGGTGGCAAAAGCTTCCGCCGACCGTGGTAACTTGGCTGGATCGAAGGGTAAGGCCCTGTGGTCCTTAGAGAGTCTGTCAGTCAGTTGAGTCAGTCAGGGGGTGGAAGTCTAAGTGGTGAGGAGTGGAACTGTCACTCGGTTGTGCATCTTTCACCAGGGTTGACACACGTAGCGGTAAGAGTACCGGCCCATACACCAAAGAGCAAGAAGAGAAGGCCACCGCCATCCTAAGAGAGAGGAAGGAGAAGATGGAGAAGAGGGAGCTTATTAAGCAGGCAAAGATGCTCGCCTTGATGGAGGAGCAAAGGCCAAGCAGAAGCAAATGGAGGAGGAGCTTTCAGAAGTGGAAAAAGGAACACTGGATTCCCCTCTCTCTTATGTTTTTCCTCTCCTTCCAGTGGTACCTCTATTTCTTCTTCCTCTGTCTCTGATGCTAAGATGGAGAGAATGGTGAATGAGTGGGTAGCATCTTGGCCCTGGGGGAGGAAGACAAAGCATTGTTGTTTGTCCCTCAGGCAGAGCAGGAACAATTTGCTAGGGAATTGGAGGGTGACGAGAGTCCCATGAAGCGGCAGGCGATGGAGGAGGAGAAAAAGTTAGAGTGGAAACTCTGCCTTGCCCGCGAGAGGAAAAGAAGATTGGAGGCGGCCGAGAAAATGGAAGAGGATTTGAGGGCCGCCGAATTAGAACATGGGAAGTTGGCAGCGCAAGTGGATCTTCAAAGGAAGGTGGAGATTCTATCACAAAATGTAGAGGTAATGTTGAAGACGCAGCAAGAACAGTTGCGCTATTTAAAGGGCCACAATATTACGCTGCAATCTATGCGCACTGGTTTTAAAGATTTTGCAAAGGATATGATGATGCATGTAGGCACCGAATTGCGCAAAATTATGGAGGGTACACATAAGTTTCGCGTAGGCGCCATTGAAGGCGCCAAAATAGTAGGCCCTAAAGAAGAAGAGGCCCGACCACGTAGAGAGCGCGTGAAGGTCAAGTTCCCTGATCATTATAGTGGGAAGACTGGAGAGGATTTTTATAACTGGGAGGCCAATGTGAAATCCTAGGTGCATCTCCAGGATATTGCGCCCGAGGACCAGGTCCTTGTAGCATTTCATGCCCATAAAGATGAAGCAGCCAGTTTTGCCAGATCGTTAGCCAGCGCTGCCAAATGTGAAAACGATATGGTCGCATACTCCATCCTGACCCCCCTTAGTGAATTCCTCAGCGCCCTGCGAGAGCGTTTTGCAGATGTCACCAGGGGCCTTAGGGCTTCTGACAAGTTGCAAACTGTCCACACGAGACAATGGAAGAGTGCTAGGCCGTTGAAGGCCGCCATGGATGAGCTCGCCATTGTTCCTAGCCATGGGGTCACTGAGCCCCAATTGGTCCAATTGTTCTACCGCGCTATGCCCGAGAAGTTGCATGGGCATTTCTTTGATAGGACGCAGCAACCCAACATGACGTATGATACGTTGAGTAGGGAGGTTGTTGCCTTCAAGGCTCAGTCCAATTACCATGTTCTGGCATAAGAACCTCGCCAAAGGGAAAAAGGGGAAAGGCCACACCATCACCAGTCCGGTCAAGGCTAAAGACAACCTTATTCTTACATTAGATGAGGGTGGTATAGAAGAGGTCCCGTATAGCGAGATTGAGTGGGGCCTCGATGAGGAGGACAGCGACATTGACCAAGGGAGGACCTATGCTGCTGTCGCGGCCGGAGGGAGGCTGCAAGGGAGAGGAAGAGGTCAGGGCCAAAGGGGCCAGACCTCTGGTGATCGAGGGCAAAGCAGCCAGGGGGTTGGCGGCAGGGAAAACTGCCAAGTGGGAGGAAGGGGTCAAGGTCCCCCATCAAACCTTCCTCGCTCTAGTCGGTCACCTCCCAGGTCGGGTGGAAGGCACCCTGGTCAGCCTGAGGGACGGCCCTGGGAATCACTGGGCTTGGAACAGACAGTGTGGCAGAGGCGAATAGAACAGGATCAGTGCATCTATTGCGGTGATCCTGGGCACATCATAAAATATTGCCCTAAATATAGAGAAGCCCGGTTTGTTGCACAGGCAGCAAAAGGCAACTGCCGGTAGGGGTTGCAACTACCCCTACCCCTAGACCATGTGGAGAAGAGTGCGCGCACCACAGAGAAACTCCCAAACCACATGTGTCTATGGCAGAGGTTGCTGGCCAATGTCTAGACAGTTGTCCAGAGACTGCTTGTGTTAGAGTCTCTCTAGGCACTTCCCTCACAGGCGTGGCATAAAAGTTGAAGGAGAGAATACCTGCCTGGGCCAAAATGAAGAAAGATGCGAAGGGACTAGTTTTGGTAGATGTAGAGATTTTCAAAGGTAGAGTAGGGGCCCTTATAGACAGTGGGGCCACCCGCAATTATATTAGCAAGAAGGCGTTGCAGAAGTTGAAACTTAATTTGAAAGTCCAAAAAGCAGACCCTATAGTTAAGCATCCTCGCAGACAATCGCACTATGCGAATCGAGGACTATGTCGAGGGAGTTCAGGCGTACTTTCGTCTAGAGAAGGATGGGAAGGTAGAGAAAGTCCTCCATTCCGTGACTCTCCTCGTAGAAGACAACCTCCCATTTGATATTGTTTTGGGAATGGATTGGGGAGAGGCAGCAGGGGCCACACTCCATTTAAGAGAGCATGAGTGTCGGCTCCCCAGTCCA